GACTCTAGAATATCTTGTCAGGTTCAGTGATACAGTAGTTATGTCATGGCTGACTGTAGGATATCTAGTCAGGTTTAGTAATACAGTAGTTATGTCATGGCTGACTGCAGGATATCTAGTCAGGTTCAGTTATACAGTAGTTATGTCATGGCTGACTGCAGGATATCTAGTCAGGTTCAGTGATACAGTAGTTATTTCATGGCTGACTGTAGGATATCTGGACAGGACCGGTAGTACAATAGTTATATCATGGCTGACTGTGGAATCTCAAATCAGATCTCATGAAAGAGATGGAATGGTATACTGGCAGCCTATTCTTCCCCAAATTCCTACAGGATATGTAACTTCGCTTAGACTGATTTCTTAACATACACTTTGGCAGATATTGATGTATTAGAAACAAATTCAATTTGTAGACTCTAGGAATCAAACTTCCATTAAATGCTAGCCCTGGATAGCAAACTAACTCTGTTGATATCTTTTGGGCATAAGGGGGTCAGAGATCAGAAGTCATGTTAGACCTCAGTTGCCATGAGACTATATTCCCAACAAATAGTGATGGATTAATACAAAATTCAATTTGTAGGGTGTCCAACTTCACACATCTACAGCCTATAAACCAATTTATTTCAAATTCGAAATCCATATTTCATTTACATTAATTCAGCAATTTGCTTAAATGGTAGTTGAAATCTTTCTATTGAATTTCATGTTGGACCCTAATTGGTTCGCTGTTAGCATTTATTTGGACACTCACAGCTTTTCATGTGAAGGGAAACCAAAGCAGAAAATCTGTTTTAAGGAGATCGTTCTGAATGCAAGAGTTGTGAAGCTTCAACATTTAGTTTGTCTGGGTTTAATGGTGTTGAGTGAACCAGTGGAAGAAAGTGGAGCACTTCACAATGTCTTTTAAGCCTGGAGATGACCAATGGCGTTGATTGATTCTTAGGGGGCAAGAAAGGTGTCGTAATATAGCTGGTGTATGCTCTATCATGTGTGACATATCGGACAGACCTAAACCGCGATGCGAGTCCACAAACAGGGATCATGGGTCATCAAACAGGGATCATGGGTCATCAAACAGGGATCATGGGTCATCATTGCAGGGCTGTTCTGTAGACTGTGGAGATGGTTTAATAGCAGAATAGTTCTTTCCAGGAAATGTTCGTGAAGAATTTGGTATCTTCTGTCCTTGTGTTCTTCTGGTGTTGATATCTTCAACATGACTTCAAGAAATAAACCCATGCTTTCAGTTTGAGGTTTTTGCAGTTTCAAGAAAAGAGCTCTTCAGATATTCAATGAGAATATATCTGTACTTTCATCATTTTGTTGCTATTATTCTGGTGTTGAGATCCTTTGCACTATTTCAAGAGGCATTCAATTATACATGAAGTTCTGGCTTTGTATTTGGAGGAAAGTAGATTTATGAAATAAGTTCTTTAGATATTCAGTCAAAGAGTATACATCAATACGTGCAGGTATGTGACAGAAGATCAAAACACCGAGCTTAATATTACAATCTCTGGGCAGATACTCTGTTCAGCCCACCATGGAGGTACATTTGTGACCAACTCGTGTTATTCCGGGACAAGCCGAATAGCGACTCGTGCCCCTCTCGTTGCCATTTTTGCGACTTGGTTCCATCTGAGCGCAAACGGGCATAGCTAAAATAATTGTCAACTCGTTGCGTAATGATTCACGTATTTTTCCCCCAAATCATATATATTTCAGATACTTTTGAAAACACATAGGGACTTACATTATTATACAGTATGGTTGAACACATTTAAATGTATCTTGGGTATATTTTTAAATACAAGACATGTAAAATCAAACATTATTCCTGAGGGATTCTTTGACGGAAGTACTTGAAGTCATACACAAATTCTGATTGGTTTATCATATTTTCTCTTGAAACATCGTTAGGGGGACGAGTCTTCTTGCAGGTTACGGAAAGGAGCGAGTGGTGATGAATGCATGGAGGTTCTTGACACACGTTATTATGCCATTATCATTCTCTGACAACTCATCATACTGTAAAATTATTAGGGGCGGTCGGGTAGCCTAGTGGTTAAAGCGTTCGCTCGTCAGGTGAAGACCCGGGTTCGATTCCCGACATGGGTACAATGTGTGAAGCCCATTTCTGGTGTCCCCCGCCGTGATATTGCTGGAATATTGCTAAAAGCGGCGTAAAACCATACTCACTCACTCACTCACTCACACACTACTGTAAAATTACTGAACATCGGAAAATATTTGAAAACACAAATACTCCAACACATAAAATGAGTTCAGGTTTTTTCACAATGGTAAGACAGATCCAATCAGGTCAGGAATGAAGAAATGTCTTTTTATGTAATTCATGTGTGCAATTTATGTATAAAGTCTCACAATGGAAAAAAACATAATCAGACTGAAGGGTGGGGTGTGACAGTCATCCAGCGTGAAGTGTTCTGGATTAGGAGAGAAGTGATCACGTAATGCTGAAGGACCACACTTCACTACATCCCTGTGAGGAGAATATCTTCAGGCACATCTCTGCTTCCTCTTACTCGGCCATGATTGCCTTCGAATCTGAGAACTAAGTATTGATTTCCATTTGTTTTCCCTAGTCCGTCTTTACTCGTGCAGATTACATGCTTTTCAAGATTTTTGCAAAATATTCCATCTTGAAATTTGCTTTTTGTAAAAGGACAAGTGATTTGTTAACTGATGGAAAAGATTATACCTGTAAGATGAACAGGGGCTTGTCGGAAAGAGGTCAACATTGAACTAGTTTTCAGGAAATGACTTTCATTTCAGCCATTAATGGAGGTCACTGTATCAATTTGAACAGATAGAGGTCAGTGTTACATCACTTGTCTTTAAGGGCTTTTTGTAACAGTGACAAAATTGACATAGTATTGATAATTTACAGCAATATTCTTCAGAAGGACTTCCAACAGTTACAAGAAGATAGTGGTTTCCTGTAAACTTGTTTCAACTTCCTGCAGCAACATCAGGATGGAGTATTGTAGGCTGTGTAATATTCCAGTGGAAGAGATAGCCAAAGATCCCGAGTTTATTCAACAGATGAATCAGTTTGTCTTGTGAGAATTACATTCTTATCCGACAAACTGTTTTTTGTCATTTGCAGGGATTTTGAAAAGTCATTTGAATTTGATGTATCTTTAGAAGTTACGATATTCTGTGAAATGTTAATTGATGATCACTATCTTTTTTTAGTTTTGCCAGATTTTAACTAAAATGTCCACAATCTGTAGAGACATGAATTAGAACTGATCTGCTGGTTGGGATTGAGATGGGTTGTGACTTGGCTTATTACACGTCATCATGCCGCCATTAAATTGTTGTCACGTGTGGTTCAGTGCTCTTATTGTCAGTCACTGGTTTGTCTGATCCGCAGGTGCGATTGAGATGGGTTGTGACTTGGCTTATTACACGTCATCATGCCACCACTATTGTCACGTGTGGTTCAGTGCTCTTGTTGTCAGTCACTGGTTTGTCTGATCTGCTGGTGTGATTCAGATGGGTTGTGACTTGGCTTATTACAATTCATCATGCCGCCATTGTTGTCGCGTGTGGTTGAGTGCTCTTGTTGTCAGTCACTGGTTTGTTTGGTTCAAACTTGATTATTTATAGGCTGCTGGGATATAACTGGAATAGTGATGATGGCAGTGTTAAACAGCATTATCTCTCCCCCAAATTGTGGTTAATATAAGTACAAGTTTATTTGTAAAAGTTGAAATGCTCACACATTTTCTTGAATCTAAATATTATGGCACATCAAGATATGCAAACATTCAAGTATTTAATTACAACTCAATGTCTGTTGCAAACATTTTGTTGCAATGAATAAAATGGACGGATATTTGGGGTATTGTCCAGCAACCACTGGGTTGTCTGTAACAATTCTAAATCCACCTCATTACAATACAAATTCAGATAAAAGTAACCAAAGTTATTTTTTCAACTTCAAGGAGCCAAGCTCAATTTTCAGCTCATTAACTCATCAAAGCTTTCTCAGTTCTTTTAGAAAAAGGATATTTGCAGTATTGGCACTCAAAGATACAAACGACGACCAAATGATAGCACTTCTTCAAGAGTGTTGGAACCTTATCATTTGTCCGATCCCATTTGAACAAATGATGCTCAAATACATGTCCAATTACCGTCCTTGCAAGAGATTTAATCTTGGGGAAAAGTTTTGTTTCCCGCAGTGTCTTCAGATCTCCCTGTTCAATTCTGTTATTGTACGACTTGTAAAAATATAGCCGTAAGGTAATTCTGTGCAGTTGAGAAAATCCAATGAATGGTCCTTGGAAAGTGGTATAAAAAGCTTGTTCAATAATGCATGTATATCAAAGCTGCCAACTTCATGATCAGCAATGACACATACAGGCAATCAAGGTCCCAATGCTTCAAGAACAGTTTGTGTTCTTTGGAAACTTTTATCATCTTTTTATGCACATTCAGTAGATGATTTAAGGCCTTTAGAACCATAAAAAAGCACTCTGTTGTCTTTGAGTGATGAGTGGTTTATATTGCGTTTCAAATAAAACTGACAGATTTGATATTGTTGAATGATGCTTGCATCACAAATTTGCAATAATCTTACGGACTACATCGTAAATGTTTGTATATTTTAGGAATTATTTTATTCAGTGAAGTGAAAGACTATGTTTTCATTATGGCTAATACCTGACTCAATAGCCATAATTATATTTTATCCTGCATCAATGCTGACTAATGAACTAATGAACAAACAAGATTGTATTATTCTTACGCTTACAATACAAAACGTTTTCTCACCATATGCCGAGTTATCAATCATCAAAATCAAACATGGGGAGAATAACAGCTTTTATACCCCCTGGTTCCAGCCAATGAAGGCGGTGTTAGACTCCTGCCAACAGTGTTGTACAATTTGACAGAGGCTTGTTGAAATGCCCTGGGTCATGTTAAGGTTGTTTGTGGTCATTATTCTCTTCTTTTTACAGAGCCTGTAAACAAGCCATCACTCTTACTGTGTGTCAACCTTACTCGGATAATGTAAGTATTTATTCTGCTCCCTTCAGCCGACAGCTGAAATTCAGGTTGGAATTTGTGGCTTGGCCATCGTTTTGGACAGAACATGCAAAGGGAATTATGAACAGCCCGTCTTGATTTTTTAAAATCTTTATGTCTGCTTGTGAAGACAGTGGAAATTGGTTGCAACATTTATTTAATCGAGTTAATGTCGGCTGTGAAGAAGGTTGTCATTTATTATCATTGTTCTTTATTCTTTTTTGAGACTTCATCAAATGTTTGAGGAGAAGTAACAGAAATTGAATAATATTTGATAACATTTTTTGTTGTCAATTTCTGTCAGCTTTTGAAAATGTAAATCATCTAATAATTGGCCAATTTTGTGATTTGTTTGTAGAAGGGGGGAAATGTTTACTTTCACTACTGATTAGAACATTATGTTGTTAGTTTTGTGCACATAACTTTGTCAAAATCATTCATTATGCTTAGCTATTTTCAGATTATTTTTTTGTGGGGAAATACTGATGCATTTCTCTACCCTGCTGTAGTATGCGAAGTGTAGAATAAAGCTTGATGTCAGCCTTGCTTGATCTATACCGAAAAGTCGACTTTACTGTAAATAAAGAAGTTGTTATCCATAAATTGTGTCTACTTTGGTGAAATTTGACTTTTCAATATTTCAATCATCCCACACAAATTTTGTCCACATTAATCTTGTTTCAATTGATAGCAAAAATATTGGAATGTGCAAGTAGCAGAAGTGACACAGACTTAGCAGACGACATGTAGCTTACCATATCGGCCATATTGATTTTACGTGTATATGTGACTGCTTGGCTGGTGGAGATGCTCACTTCATCATTACCTTTCTTTATTTTCAGTCGTCACGGAAGTCAGCTCTACTCACTGCGGCAAAGAAGGCCAAGTTAAAAAGTAACCCCTCTCGAGTTCGCTTTGCAGATTCCGTCATGGTAAACGGAGCCCCTGTTCTTACAGTAAGTGGGAGGACTATAGGTCATTGCATGATCTCAAGTAGGGTAAAGCCCACAAACAAGTGTTGTTGTGACTCATCTTTTAGTGTCAGTTTTGCCATCTTTCTTACTTTAACTTACTTTGACCAAACTAAAACGTTTTGAAAACCCATTTTCAGGAAAAACTCACAGTCATTAAATTGGAAGTATTAGTCAATGCTCACATGACCAAGAGACAATATTAACAAATGTCAAATGTCCCATACTCATCAGATATTCAGTTTTTCACAACCTCATGTCCCATACACAACCAATAACCCATGTCCTGTGCACAACCACTGCCTCATGTCCTGTGCACAACCAATAGCTCAAGTCATAAAGACAACCAATAGCTCGATCATGTCCTACAGACAACTAAAACTCATGTCCCATACACAACCAATATCTCATGTCCAATACACAACCAATATCTCATGTCCAATACACAACCAATAGCTCATGCCCTACAGACAACCAAAGCTCATGTCTGAAACACAACCAACAGCTCATGTCCCATACCCTACACAACCAGTTTCTCATTTCTATACACAACAATAAACCCATGACCTACACTCAACCAATATCTCATGACCTATGGACAACCAATAGCTCATGTCCTATTCACAACCGATATTTTATGTCCTATACACAACCAATAACCCATCTACTATACACGACCAATATCTCATCACCTATAGACCACCAATAGCTCAAGTCCTATTCATAACCAATATCTCATGTCCTATACACAACCAATAACCCATCTACTATACACGACCAATATCTCATCACCTATAGACCACCAATAGCTCAAGTCCTATTCATAACCAATATCTCATGTCCTATACACAACCAATAACCCATCTACTATACACGACCAATATCTCATCACCTATAGACCACCAATAGCTCAAGTCCTATTCATAACCAATATCTCATGTCCTATACACAACCAATAACCCATCTACTATACACGACCAATATCTCATCACCTATAGACAACCAATAGCTCAAGTCCTATTCATAACCAATATCTCATGTCCTATACACAACCAATAACCCATCTACTATACACGACCAATATCTCAGCACCTATAGACAACCAATAGCTCAAGTCCTATTCATAACCAATATCTCATGACCTATACACAACCAATAACCCATCTACTATACACGACCAATATCTCATCACCTATAGACAACCAATAGCTCAAGTCCTATTCATAACCAATATCTCATGTCCTATACACAACCAATAACCCATCTACTATACACGACCAATATCTCACCACCTATAGACAACCAATAGCTCAAGTCCTATTCATAACCAATATCTTATGACCTATACACAACCAATAACCCATCTACTATACACGACCAATATCTCATCACCTATAGACAACCAATAGCTCAAGTCCTATTCATAACCAATATCTCATGTCCTATACACAACCAATAACCCATCTACTATACACGACCAATATCTCATCACCTATAGACAACCAATAGCTCAAGTCCTATTCATAACCAATATCTCATGTCCTATACACAACCAATAACCCATCTACTATACACGACCAATATCTCATCACCTATAGACAACCAATAGCTCAAGTCCTATTCATAACCAATATCTCATGTCCTATACACAACCAATAACCCATCTACTATACACGACCAATATCTCATCACCTATAGACAACCAATAGCTCAAGTCCTATTCATAACCAATATCATGTCCTATACACAACCAATAACCCATCTACTATACACGACCAATATCTCATCACCTATAGACAACCAATAGCTCAAGTCCTATTCATAACCAATATCTCATGTCTTATACACAACCAATAACCCATCTACTATACACGACCAATAGCTCATGTCCTTTACACAAGCAATAGCTCAAGTCCTTTACACAATGAACAGGACATGTACGTCTTTTTAGCAAGAACTTTATTGGACTGAGGAAATAAGGGCTACTAAATGAGGACAAGTTGACTTGAAGGAAACTATGTTTTAAATGTTTAAAGAAAAAAGAAGCTTGCTAAGGATCATGCTGAAGAAATCTTTGAAATGAGTTTGTTTAGGTTCCGAGAAAAATCAGGAAAGTTCTATGGATTCAATAAAGTGCTCTTGGCAAGTCATTCCATTCTCTTCAGAATTGAATTAGTTGTTCCTGAATGACAAAAGGACTGAATTAAGAAACATGAAACTGCACAGCAGGCTATGAAGTTTCTGTTATATCAACAGCAACATGTTCACATTGTTGCAGTCAGGGCTCGAAGTTAATGTATGTCCACTAGTCCAAGACTAGTAATATTCAGGAAGGACCAGTTAAATTTCCTTTTATCATACAACCATGTCAGAATGAATAGATTTGATTGAACCACATGATCTTGATAAAATACTGTATAACCCGCCTTGGAGGGTAATAAATTTCTGAGCGGTGGAATAAATCTCTTTTATCATATAATGCGTAGGTTTCTCGGCAGGATAAAGCCAAAGGATAAAAACGATATCTGTTGGGGTCATATGCCGATAACGATGCAAATTTCAAAGGTCAAGTGGGATCAGTAGCCATATCTGTGCTTGTAGACCGCTGCGGCTTGAAACCTTCTCCACAAATTAAAATAGTTGGATTTGGCCGAAATGTTACGGTAATGTTTGTGACAGAGGGAAAGCGATTTTGAAGCACAGAATTAAAGAATGACATTATATGATAAAGAGGTTATCATGCTTGTGTGTTCGGGGATGGTAAATATCCTGTATTAGGAATAAACACTATTTATTTAGCTCGCCAAGGCTCGCTAAATACAATGATTATTCCTATACAGGATGCACGTGGATTTCTCAGAGGCAGAATAAATCCCTTACACCCAGCTTCAAAGTTCATGGTATAAAACCTAACATGGGACGCATAAAACCCCCTGTACCCCTCGTGATCCTGCTAAAACTTATAGTGTAGTACCACCGTTTTGTTGGGAAGATGGCAAGATGATTATCATTTTACACCCCTTTTAGCAATATTCAGGCACTATCACCTGAAATGGGCTTCACATATTTTACCCATGTTGGGAAACGAACCCAGATTTTTGGTGTGATGAGCAAACGCTTTAACCACTAGGCTACCCCTCTGATCTCTGGAAATGAATGGAATACTTGGTAGCTGTTCTGTCCATGAATATATGGTGTATCATGGATTATGGTTTAGAAATGGTTCTCAGTATATAATGCTTAAGAAAGATGGACATTGGGAAGACAACTTGAGGCTTGGGTAGCAGTGATTGGGAGTGTCAGTATTGATATGAGTATGAGAAAATATCACAATAGATCAACATTTTCAGTTGTATCATTAATTGGTGTATTAGAGAGCATTTCAAAGATCTTTAGCAAGTACGGGTTTGTCAGTGGGTTAGCCTTGTGGTTAATGCGTTTGCTCATTGAGTTGAAGGCTTGGGTTTGATTCCTTACATGGAACAGTCTGTAAGGCCTATTTCTGGTGTGTCCTGCCTTTATGTTGCTGGAATATTGCTAAAAGCAGCATAAGAACCTACTCACACTTTCTATTCTCTTATTAAAATTATTGTCATCAATTTGTTAACAAACAGTTTTTGCCTTGTCAAAAGATAAACTTTATCCATTCTTATCAAACTGTTGACAAGACTTTTGACACATTTTTGACTTGAGTATTATTATTGACAATGAACTTATTTTATTCATATTGACCAAGTTTCAGCCAATATTTTCAGTTATGTTCTGGGTGAAATGAAATTTTATTACATTTCAAGTTTGTGTATTGATACAGTATTAGAAAACAAATGATATCTTTAATTGTCATTTAAATGTAAAACAGTATTGATACATCAATATTTAATCTGTGAACGATAACTCTAGTTCTGACCTGGCATCATGCTCTGACAACATGGATCCATGCTCATGCTATCAATCACTGGTTAACCTGTTCAGGTTGCCATGTGACCCCCATTCACTCACTAACTCAACACATATTACAACGTCTCTGTGCCTTAATCAGCAGAACTGTCATGGCAGACAGTTTTAGAATAATCTCATTCTAAATTGTACAAATTAGGGGTATTTGATTATTCATTATAAAATGCGTCTGTCTGCAAGGATCAATATTCATTCAAAGAATGGCTGAGTTGTATTTCAAGTTTCGGATGAAGACTTCCGAGCTCTGTGATCTTCACCAAAATTATGTTCAAAGGAATGCTTAAAATACGACTATCTTTTTTTCAAGAGTGTCACTTCAAGCTATAAATCTGTTCTATTTTCTTTTTGTCTCCAGTTCGACATACCGTATTCGACGTAATAAGCGCCCCGCTCTAATAAGCGCCCACGGCGGTATTTCCTAATATATTGGCTATTGAATAAATCCCAATTAGCACCCATTCCAATTGATCAATGTTCACAAGACTTTTTTATTCGCGTACAATACGCACTCGTGTGTTATATGCACCCTTAATTATGGACAATTAAATTCTAGAAAAATATATCTGTCGTACATAAACATTTCAGGCTGTCAGCATAAAGCACGAAATTTATCTTTCACCAAAATAATATTCTAATAAGAGCCCCTATTTCTAATTTTGAGAGCGCTCTGGGCGCTTATTACGTCGAATACGGTATCTGTAGCCAAGGGGACCATTGCCAGACAAATTTGTCATGTTAAAGATTTAACCAGTCACATGCTTTCTGTCTTTCTTCCAGCCGTCCGCCCAGGAAAGCTATGTGCCTTTCATGCCTAATGTTCTGAAAGTCTTTCTGGAGAATGGGCAAACCAAGTCTTTCAAGTACGACAACAAAACCACAGTAAAGGTGAGATAGATGTCTGCTTCCTTCCACTTGAGATATTTTACGACATCTGGCAGCTGTTCTGGGTGTCCTGAAGTCGTTATACTGCTAAATTTGAGTCTATTCTCTACGAACAATTTGATACTGTTTGAGTCTATTCTAGGTAGTTTCATTACAGGAACACAAAAGGCACAATGACGTCTTCTCTGATATTTGTGTCTCATTTGAGTGATAATGCTGGGTTCTATTTCTGTTGTTTTTTTCAATGTCCTCAACGTTACGAAAGTCTTCTGGATAAACATTAAACTTTCACTGAGAAAAATTCAACTAACTTTGTGATCATCCTCGATCATATAGGGGTATTACGTTGCCATTCCATCAGGATACCTTGACCCAATGCTACCATACCTTCATTTTGAACCCGATTCAAATAGCATGACAATAAAAAAAGACGTCCAATCAAATTACTCCTCTGGAAGATTACTGACCTCCTCCATGGTCTAGTAGATAGAGTCTCTGGTGAGCGGAAAGTTGGTGGTTCGATCCCCAGCCGCATCATACCAAAAGACATTAAAAAGTTGTACTTGCTGTTACCCTACCAGTCACTTAATTGACATCAAGGTGACTAGTCGGCTTGGAGTCTGTATGTTCTGTCTGAGTGGGGTATCCATGTTTACTGCAGCATAGTATCTCAATCTCAATGGGCTAGCACTTTTAAACCAGCATAATAGTCCAGACACACATGCACACAGACCGCCTCCGTGGTCTAGTGGTAGAGCGTCCGCCCGGAGAGCGGAAGGTCCGGGGTTTGATCCCTGACCGCGTCATACCGAAAGACGTTAACAGATGGTACTTGTTGTTACCCTGTCTGGCGCTTGTCATTTAGGGGCTAAAACAAGGACTGGTCAGCTCGGAGTCAGTATACTGTGTCTGAGTGGGGTATTCATGTTGAACTGCGGCATGGTATCTCAGTGAGCTAGCACTATAAATCGGCATCAGTCAGGACTAGTACAAGCAGCCACACAAACACACACACGTACATGCACGTCGCTATATAAGTGCAATAATCTTGGACGCGATGTAAACCCCATTTCACCTCACCTTCACCTCACCACACATGCGCACATGCTTACACACATACACACACACTACTTCGACTACTTGCACAGTCCATTATACCACTGCTGAAGGCTTTGTTCAAAACAGAGATGGCTACTGGATCACGTGGATATAGAAAACTTTGATATCCAGGTAAAACATTCAGAAACGTGTACTACACACACTTGTAATTAGGGCTGGGACGAGTCCAAATTTACTACCCGGGTACCCACCCCTCTATTACCCTACCCTATCCGGGTAACCGCTGTAGGTCTCAAGAGGTAGGTACAAACTGTCTGATTGGAAAAAAGTTCTGGTAAAATGTGTTTAGATACATGTATGAAACGATCTGGTGTATACACTGAAGTTGACCGAAGTTATGTTTTTATTCAAACATATAAAAGTCAGAAGGAATGGGCGTAGTAGTCATGAAGAACTGCGGACAATAGTGACTTGTAGTTTAATCATAGAGGTTTAGATACTTTTGGGCATTAAACAGTATATCACGTGACTTACCACGGGCCCGGGTAGTCCTGTGAGTACCCAGGTCCTACTTAGTACCCACCCGACCTGAGTACCCGAGTTACCCGTCCCAGCCCTACTTGTAATGTATTCATTGTTTGTTGTGTTGTGCTTACATCAGATGTAAGTACATTATTGGGATGTGAAGCACTGATACCCTGAACAGATCGGGTGGTCTGACACGTGAATTACCCGTCCCAGCCCTGCTTGTAATGTATTCATTGTTTGTTGTGTTGTGCTTACATCAGATGTAAGTACATTATTGGGATGTGAAGCACTGATACCCTGAACAGATCGGGTGGTCTGACACGTAAATTGATTGATTGCATGTGATCGTACCCCAATGGCGTATAATTGCTCACAATATAAGTGATTAACTTCAGGCCACTGTCATATAACTGGATTGCTGAATGCGGTGTTAAACAACAACAAACAAACTTAACATGCCAATAATGTGCTGTCACATCGCTCTATCTGTTGCTTAAAGCGTGTAAGGCTCTTCTATAGGCATTATTAGTGTGATCATTTTGTGTCACAGGCTTTCAATTTCAGTCTGTATCACTGAGGATGTTCAATGGACAAACATTTCCCAAATTCTGTTTTTGGAAGAACTTCTCAATTCCATTATGGTGTAGTGTCGAGGCAATCTTTAAGTGAATGTCTCTCAGATGAGTGTTTGACAGGGATAAGACCCATGGGATTACACCACCAGAGCCTCCTAAGTGGGTTTAATGGTTGTGTGCACATACTGCCGTGTGATGGATAGCCCAGATTGATTAACACTGTAACCAAACCCAAGAGAGTAAAAGCAGCGTTTTTAGAAATGATCCCAGTTACTTCTACAGCGGTCTATCATATCAAATGTGATTTGTAGAAGTAGAAAAAGAGGAAGACGTGTTAGAGCAGAGCCTTGTTTCCTTTGGGACTGTACAAGTGGTGGTCTGGGTTTTGTGTTGTGTTAGAGGGGAGACTTGTTTCCTGTGGGGCTGTACAAACGAGGCTCTAGGTTGTGTGTTGTGTTCGAGCGGAGATTTGTTTCCTGTGGGGCTGTACAAACGAGGCTCTAGGTTGTGTGTTGTGTTAGAGCAGAGACTTGTTTCCTGTGGGGCTGTAAAAGTGGGGGTCTAGGTTGTGTGTTGTGTTAGAGCAGACACTTGTTTCCTGTGGGGCTCTAGGTTGTGTGTTGTGTTAGAGCAGAGACTTGTTTCCTGTGGGGCTGTAAAAGTGGGGCTCTAGGTTGTGTGTTGTGTTAGAGCAGACACTTGTTTCCTGTGGGGCTCCAGGTTGTGTGTTGTGTTAGAGCAGAGACTTGTTTCCTGTGGGGCTGTAAATGTGGGGCTCTAGGTTGTGTGTTGTGTTAGAGCAGACACTTGTTTCCTGTGGGGCTCTAGGTTGTGTGTTGTGTTAGAGCAGACACTTGTTTCCTGTGGGGCTCTAGGTTGTGTGTTGTGTTAGAGCAGACACTTGTTTCCTGTGGGGCTGTAAAAGCGGGGCTCTAGGTTGTGTGTTGTGTTCGAGCGGAGACTTGTTTCCTGTGGGGCTGTAAAAGCGGGGCTCTAGGTTGTGTGTTGTGTTCGAGCGGAGACTTGTTTCCTATGGGACAGATTGTGGGTGAGACTAAGGTCAGACAACTCAGAGCAGGGAATATTACTGCCAAAGAATAAAACAATGTATTTACTGTTGGTGGAGAGTTCAATCTGATTCTCTGAACTGCCAACAATTTTGCAGTGAAGTGGTGTCACAACTTTGGGCTAGCATTATTTTTACTTTCTGTCTTCACAGAACCAAAAACATTAAGGTTCATAAATATTTTTGGGGCTATGTTTTGGAATGAAGAAAAATGTCCCCCAAAACATTCATGATCCATTCAACATTTTGTGTTCAGTATGAATCACAGTGTGCTGGGGTAGGACAGTAATCCAGATGGTAGTCATTTGCCACTTGGTGAAACCAGCAGGCATGGTGTGGTGCTGACAGACCAGTAGGTCAAAACCAGAGATTTGAACCCAACATTCCGGTGAAGATTCGAACACCATTAGGGAGCACGGGTGGCCCAGTCGTCTAAGGCGCCGCAATTCGCTGTGCAGAGTTGCATCCCTTGGGCATGCCAGAAACCTATGATTGTGGGTTTGAATCCCGGTTCGCCCCGATTATGTTTCCAGGTTTGTCAGCACCATACCCGTGCTCGTGGGTTTCACAGAAGTGGTAAATGTCAGAGACCTGCATCATTTCGGGCTTTCCGCCCACATTAAGCTGACACGCCATGATATGACTGGAATACTGTTAAAAGCAGTGTTTAACCCAATTCACTCACTCACTCACTCACTCACTCACTCTAACACCATTATTAAATGATGATCACATGTTGTCATTATGCACAAGTTATTGTAGGCAAACAGCTAGACACCAGTCAGGTGAACAAGGCCACCAATAACCTTCATTGTAATGTTTCAGAGTGTTTTGTAGTGTTACTATACCAGAGCAGAGCCTAGGTTGTCAAGAGTAGTGGTGGGATGATACACCAGTGGATCTGTAGATTACGATTTCTTACCAGGGATTTGAACTCAAGCTGAGCACAAAAACGAGAACAGTCAGATTGGTCAGTGGCTGATGTTTCCCAAAGTTTATGTAAATATACACCTTCTTTGAATATGTCTTAATATCTGGCTATGGGAGCCAGCTTCCTAATGCCCATCACAGCTTCCTTTGCAATCTCCTGAATCTAGGTGGGGTAGTCCAGTGGCATGTGGTCAGCACATCAAAGGCCCAAGTTCAAATCACCATATAATATGATGATATTATATTGATGATCATCTATGAGTTACTTGTTGATAATCTGTGGGTGATATTGATGATGATTTATGGGTAATATTCCTGATGATTTATGGGTAATATTGATTATATATGGGTAATATTGCTAATAATCTGTTAGTGATATTGCTTATAATCTGTAGGTAATGTTGCTAATCAGGTATGGGTAATATTGCTCATTATGTATGGGTAATATTGCTGATGATGTATAGGTAATATTGCTTCATGGTGTATGGGTAATATTGCTGATGATGTATGGGTAAAATTGATGATGATGTATGGGTAATATTGATGATATATGGGTACTATTGTGAATGATCTGTTAGTGATATTGCTGATAATCTGTGGGTAATATTGCTGATGATGTATGGGTAATATTGCTGATGATGTATGGGTAAAATTGATGATGATGTATGGGTAATATTGAGGATATATGGGTAATATTGTGAATGATCTGTTAGTGATATTGCTGATAATCTGTGGGTAATATTGCTGATGATGTATGGGTAATATTGCTGATGATGTATGGGTAATATTGCTGATGAGGTATGGGTAATATTGCTGATGATTTATTGGTAATATTGCCGATGATTTATGGGTAATATTGCTGATGATGTATGGGTAATATTGATGAGTGGTCTCTTGACTGAGAAGGGAGGTAATTGCAAAGATGTACAGCTTGGAAAGACTGATCCCCTCTGTTGGATGTTCCACCTGAAGCTAATAACTCATGGAAAGTTAGACCAACTTTCCTAAATACCTTCGACCCACATTCACAAAGTACAGTGTTGTGCACTCAGTGCACCTGATCCATGGGCATGGTCCAATGTGAGAGAAATCACTCCTTATTATAACCGTTTGTAGGATGAAATTGTCAATCAGCAGGGTGTTCACTCAATAACTTGTATAAATGGATGGGTTTCCCCCCAATTTGCTACAGTCTTTCATTTTGTTGATATTCAAGCAACATTTATACAGAATAAATTGCTTTTTAGTTTTTCAAATCAGTTGGTAATCTGGGCACCAATCATGGTGGTTTTCAAGCTCCTTCTTGGCCTGGCAGCGCCAACGTGCTCTCATCACCCTCACATCCTGTATTGTAATAGAGTGTAGGGACTAACTTTAAAGTCAACAGAACAGTGTTGGACATGACTCACTGAAGACATCAACCATCAAAGCAGGGTCATGTTTCTGTTTTGATTCAGGAACTAAATGATTGGGTTAATCACTGTTCTATAATAAGTAGTCTTTTATGATGGCGGGGGAGGTAGGGTAGCCTTGTGGTTAAAGTGTTTGCTCGTCATGCCGCAGGCCTGGGTTTGATTCGCAATATGGGTATAACATATGTCCCTTGTGATGTTGGTGGAATACTGCTAAAGAGGCATAAAACCAAACTCACTCACTCACTCATTTTGATGATGGAGATAGGTAGCCTTGTGGTGTAAGGTGCAGCTCCATCCACTTTAAAACCCATGCTTGTCGTAAAAAGGAAACTATGCTTGTCGTAAGAGGCGACAAACGGGATCGGGTGGTCAGGTTCGCTGACTTGGGTGATGCATGTCATCTCATCCCAATTGCATAGATCAATGCTCGTGATGTCAATCACTGGATTGTCAGGTCCAGACTCGATTATTTACAGACTATTGTCATTTCGCTGGAATATTGCTGAGTGAGGCGTTAAACAACAAACAAACAAAAAAACATCAAGCCAGCCAGCCACTTTAATTGCATTTATCTTCTGATGTGCTCAAATCCTTAAGCATCAACAAAACTTTATGTCTGTGCTCCTGGTTTTCACCAAAGTGTTAACCATCTACGACCTGCATCACTTTTGGCCTTCCTCCATCACGAATCTGACATGCCGTGATGTATGTGAAGTAACATTCAAGGCAGTGTTCGACCAGCCCCCATGCTGGCAGCTTGCTATCATTCACATATTTCAATTGGACTCTTTCTTCTTCTCCAAAACGTTGCCCCAGACTGACATTTAAGAAGTTGAATACTTCTTGCTTCACTTTTGGAAACTATTCTACTGAAATCTCAAAATTGAATAATCAATTTATTACGGCCTTCTGCACACACTGCCAGCCATGATTTCTTGTGGAGATCTGATCTATGGCACGGGGTCCTCACCAGGCAGTATTCAAGACATGCCATATACTACTCAAAAGAAGTAAAGGAACAGCCAGTTCTTTCATATTACTAGAGTTAATCTGTCATGAAATGACAGATTAACTGTGCTAATATGAAAAATTGGGTGTTCTTTAACTCTTTAGTCGTACAAGGAACATGAAACCTTTTCTCCATGCAGAAATAGAATAGATTTGTTCATGAATAACTCCAGTTGCACCATGGACTGTACTGGGATAAGAAAATCATTTTAAAAACCCAATGATTGATTTTACCCCAAAAAGGCAAGCATTTATATATCAATTCATTTTTCATTCATAAGTGACTCAGTTAAAGCACCATGGATTATTTCAGATCTGAAAATCATTTTTGAAACTGATTGATTTATTTCAACAGTTCGAAAACTGGATTTATATCAATTCAGTATGTAACATATATGAGTAAACCCAGACATTTGTCGATTATTAACAATTCTGTCTTGGCGAGAGTCTTCGAGTACTCACCTACTTTCCTCCCATCCCAAGGGGACATCATTCAGGTTACAAGTTACTAGTGCCAGACAGCTTTTCCCTTGACTCAGCTGGTCAGTCTGTGATCATTGTTCTGGCAGGGAATGTAAAACTATTCAATGTTTTTGGTGGCCGCAGGGAGAATATGTATAGGCCTTCAATTATTCCTTGTTTGGTGTGGGTGTGTCTATCATGATGACTGGCCATGGGTAGGATGTTGCCCAGTCATTGCCGGAAATGTTTTGGTAATATTTTCCAGTAGTAAATTATGGTATTGGATTGACCGGATTGGTCGATATGGTTTTAGACCTCATTCATTCAACCATCTTGAAAACATCATCAGTCATTGTTTTTATTTTTCCGTTTGCTGTCACAAGTTTGTTTTGAGTTTAAACACATCAATCCATTTGTGATGGGTGGGCATACTTTGGACCACCCCCTGATCCACCCCCTGGAGCACCCATTCGTGACAAGATGGTGTGTCGCTATGTGTGTGTTTGCTTGCTGGTCTCCTTTGCAGTTCACTGTTACCTCCCTAATGCCAGAATGAGATGATCATGGGTTCAAAGCCCTGGGTGCCGTTGTACAAAACAACCTTTACTAAGGTTAATTTAGTTACTAAGATTAATCTTAAGGTAACCTTATCAAAACATTAAGCCCGTTGCACAAAACTACCTTAGGACAACCTTAACTGTGTTGGTCTTCTACGAGACAGAAAATGGCTTCGCGGGTGAGTCGATAACGCGATATCAGGTCCAAGTCTGTCAGTGTCTCAAGCTGCATGGTGCGATCTCGGAAAACACGCTGTTTCCTCAAACTTCTCTCAGTTTTCTCACATATCAACAAGAAAGTAGCCATGTTGAAATTCAATGAAGTATCAACCTAAGCGTGGCTAAGGTTGGGTCTGACCAACCTTAAAATTTTCACCTTAACTAAGGCTACCTTAGCGTAAGGTAGTTTCATGCAACAGGGGGTCAACCTTAGTAAAGGCCTAAGGTTAAAACTTAAGGATATAAGGTAACCTTAGCGCTAAGGTTGTTTTGTACAACAGCACCCAGGTCATGATTCTTAGTTTGTTTCCTTGATCATGTGTACCAAAGTGTTGCTGGTGACTCAGGTTGTTGCTGCTGGTGACTGTGAGGTTGTTGTTGTTGCAGGTGCTAGTGACAGTAAGATTGTTGTTATTGTTGCTTGTGACAGTAAGATTGTTGTTATTGTTGCTGGTGACAGTAAGATTGTTATTATTGTTGCTGGTGACAGTGAGGTTGTTGTTGTTGCCGGTGCTGGTGACAGTAAGATTGCTGTTATTGTTGCTGGTGACAGTGAGGTTGTTTTTGTTGTTGGTGACAGTGAGGTTGTTGTTGTTGCTGGTGCTGGTGACAGTAAGATTGTTGTTATTGTTGCTGGTGACAGTGAGGTTGTTGTTGTTGTTGGTGACAGTGAGGTTGTTGTTGTTGTTGCTGGTGCTGGTGACAGTAAGATTGTTGTTATTGTTGCTGGTGACAGTGAGGTTGTTGTTGTTGCTGGTGACAGTGAGGTTATTGTTGCTGCTGGTGACAGTGAGGTTGTTGTTGTTGTTGGTGACAGTGAGGTTGTTGTTGTTGGTGCTGGTGACAGTGAGGTTGTTGTTGTTGCTGGTGACAGCCAGGTTGTTGTTGTTGCTGCTGGTGACTGTGAGGTTGTTGTTGTTGCTGGTGACTGTGAGGTTATTGTTTCTGGTGACTGTGAGGTGGTTGTTTGTTTCAGGATGTGATGCAGTCACTGCAGGAGAAGCTGAACATCCAGTGCATCCACCACTTCAACGTGGTGCTGCAGAACATGAAGAACAACACTGCCGGCAAGATGACACTGCTGCAGGAGCACGAGACACTCGCAGAGGTCAGGGTCACCGTGGTTACCATGGAGGACACTGTCTTGTCCAGATCTCACAGCTTTCAAATGTTATGTTAATCATTGCTGTGGATGTAATGTAGATATTGTGAAATACTTAAAAGAATCTATACATGGGGTGTTTTTTGTGGGATTAAGCCTCTGTCAATTTTAAAATTTACTCAAGTACATAGTAAGAAAATTTATAGACAACATTGTTGTTGTATTGTGTTTCTTTTAAGATGTTCTTAGTTACATAAACGGCTTTGTTTACATGGCCCAGTCATCGAAGGTGCCACAAGTAGCTGTGCAGAGTTGCTTCCCTTGGGCATGCAAGAAACCTGTGATCATGGGTTCAAATCTTGGTGTGCTCCCATTATGCTTCTTGGTTTGTCAGCACCATACCCATGCTCATGTGTTTCACCAGTCTTACTTCTGGCCTTCTTCCCACATTAAGCTGACACAGCTCGATACAACTGAAATACTGTTCAAAGCGGTGTTGAACCCAACTCACTCACTCACATGAAGTGAAGGTATGTACTGATTGTCCTGGGGTACAGGGTAAGTATGTGTTGCAAGACTGAAATAAAGACTTCTATCTGCAGATCGCAGCTCGCCCCGGCGCCCGACACTTCCGCTGTTTGTTCCGCGTGGCCTATGTCCCCAGAGATGCATACGACTTAGTGAGGGAAGATGCAATAGCTTTTGAGTATTTTTATTTACAGGTGAGTTATTCTTTCTTCACAGAATGATACCTATGCAGGAAAATGTTTTTTCGATGTAGTTATCTGATTCAAGTCCTAACATACTTTTGAACAATTTCTGTATATGTTGTGTAAATGAATGGCACACATGGGTACAATTTATGAAGCCCATATCTTGTGTCGCCAGCCGTGATGTTGCTGAAATATTGCTGAAAGCAGCGTAAAACAATTCTTTCTCACAAATGGATGGTATTTCTTTACTTTCTACACAATTAACATTAATATTTTATCATCCAGAATTCACTCCTGATATGAAATGCCATTTCCTTGCAATAGTTGTTTTTAAAAAAAATAATTTTTTGTCAGATTCCATCATCGACATACTGATTAAATATTTTTCTCAATATGTTAAACATATTTATTTTTGGGATAGTTCATTTTAAAATGTCAACACATTAAATAAAGTCATCAAAATGGTGGAAATATGAAGTATGCCAATGTTGGCCTGTCTTCATTTCAGTGCTGTAATGATGTGATACATGAGAGGTTTGTCCCGGAACTGAAATATGACACGGCATTGAGGTTGGCAGCGCTGCACATACAGCAACACGCCACCAGCAACAACATGACTGGCAAGATCTCCATCAAGGCTATTGAGTAAGTCATAAACATCATGTTTCTGAAGCAAGTACAGTCAGGCCAGGTTGCATTGTCTGCAAAACACACACCCTTCTTTAGCTATCCTTTCTTTGATTGTTAGGTAGCCTAGTTGTTACAGCGCTGCTTATCACGCTGAAGGAATGGGTTTGACTCCCCACATGAGGACAGTGTTTCCCCTGGTATCCCTGCCAGGGTATTGCTGGAGTATTGGTAGAAGTGGCGTCAAACCGTACTCACTGACGGGTCTGGACTGGTTGTATGTGATAGGTCCCTAGTACCCCTTGCTTGTCATCAGGACGGACTCCATGCAGCAATATAAGTGCAATAATCTAGAACTAAGACCTTAAACCACATTTCACCTCACCTCAAATTACTTCAAATTCTGATTTCCAGTAAAAACTTGAGTGTACATATTTATGGTAGATTTATCTGTGGAGTAAGAGACACTACGTTTGTTTGTTTCCAGGAAGGAGTGCGGTCTGGACAAGTTTGTGCCGCACAGTCTGATTGAGAACATGAAGGGCAAGGACCTCCGCAAGATGCTCAATCAGTACCTGAAGATGAACCAGTCGCTCACCGCACCCGGGCAGAAGCAGCTGACACCGCTCCAGGCCAAACTACACTACATGAAGATTGTCAGCGAACTGAAGACGTTCGGCAGTCGGGTGTTCATGGTCACATTACTGGTACGTGAGGTCGCTTGTAGACTGCAGTGATAGAGACAGTTGTCAATCTCATTGAAATCAGATCTTAGTTCTCGCTACCGCTTAAAAGATCTGAGGACGTCCCATTACAGGTCATGCAAGAACGACCTTTTGCGATAAAATGACTAAGAAGAAGTCGAAACTGGTCAATCATAAAGCAGCTTCCTCGAGCTTTACGGCACTAGTTTCAAACTGGCGAATCCATTCCAAACTACTCTTTGAAAAATTATTGACTCAAAATTTGAACAAAAGAACATCCTGGAATGTATGAGTTGGTTTGTTGTTTAACGACACACTCAGAAATATTCCAGCTACAAGACAGTGGTCTGTATATAATCACGTCTTGACCAGACCAGACAATCCAGTGATTGATCTCATGAGCATCAATCCACACAATTGGGATGTGATGACATGCATCAAACCAAGACAGTGAGCCTGATCACCCGATCTCATTCGTCACTTATGACAAACATAGTTGCCTCTTACACCAAACATTGGTTGCTGAAAACCTATTCTAACCCTGATCTTCACGGGTCTGGAATGTATAATAGATCTATGATAGACAGATTATATGAGAGATGGCCCAGATTTATAGCAGTGCAGTAAACTACGGTTATAATGAACTCATGGGAGTTCATGGGACCACATTTCATTATAACCGTAGTTCGTTATAAGCATATATACAGCATACATAATGCAAATGGCCAGGACCAAAAAATAAGTTTGTATTATTCATCAGTTCGTTATAAGCGTGTTCGTTATAAACGTAGTTTACTGTACTTCCGACGAGCTATGCAAAGTCTCTTCTGTTCAAATGTTTATCCTATTGTAGCGAGAGAAAGATGATGATTTTGATGGATTCAGTCATACAGCCTCTTACTGTCATTCAGGGTACCCCACGTTAACCTTTTGGGGGCTGCATGATTAGAAAACACATGGATATGAAGAGTCTCTCTATGTTCAGTGTCTGTCTTTGAATCCAAAAACGATGAGCGGAACATTTCTAGACATGTTATTCTATCAATGTGTGTTCAAATAAATAACTGTTAGTGGATATTATTGAGATTGAACGTTGCAACATGAGATGCGCGTTTCTTTTTCAACTTAGTATATCAAAGACGACGCATGAATTGTAGGTTCTCTATTCATTCAAAGCCACATTCAAAGACATCCATCAGCCCTGTCTTCATTGAATGTACATCTCCTGAATGCCACTTTACGGTACTTACTTTCGTGATTTATATGACGACTAAATATTTTGTTCCAGACGTAATAGCCAGGAAGAATATCAAATAGATATTAACTCAAGCGAGTGTAGTTTTCCTGAGAATGTAGCGTGTAAGTTCCAGACTGTCTGGGAGTCATGACCACAGTGGTCTTTGACTGATCATGATCAGGTCTACCATCTCCAGTTACCCTCACAATGGCGTCCAAGTCTAGACCGTTGGTAATTAGATGGTCATAGTCACCAGGCTATCTGACCATGCTCAAGGAGTGTCATTGACCTTGGACAGTCATTGTTTTTCATTAGTCATTGACTGTGGATAGTATTTGATCATGGATAGTATTTGATCATAAATAGTAATTGATCATGGACAGTAGTTGGTCATGGATAGTATTTGATCATGGATAGTATTTGATCATGAATAGTATATGATCATGGATAGTATTTGATCATGGGTAGTATTTGATCATGAATAGTAATTGATCATGAATAGTAGTTTATCATGAATAGTAGTTTATCATGGATAGTAGTTGATCATGGATAGTAATTGATCATGGATAGTAGTTGATCATGGATAGTATTTGATCATGAATAGTAATTGATCATGGATAGTAGTTGATCATGGATAGTAATTGATCATGAATAGTAGTTTATCATGGATAGTAGTTGATCATGGATAGTAGTTGATCATGAATAGTACTTGATCATGGATAGTAGTTGATCATGGATAGTAATTGATCATGAATAGTAGTTTATCATGGATAGTAGTTGATCATGGATAGTAGTTGATCATGAATAGTACTTGATCATGGATAGTATTTGATCATGAATAGTAATTGATCATGGATAGTAGTTGATCATGGATAGTAATTGATCATGAATATTAATTGATCATGGATAGTAGTTGATCATGGATAATAATTGATCATGAATAGTAGTTAATCATGGATAGTAGTTGATCATGGATAGTAGTTGATCATGAATATTACTTGATCATGGATAGCAGTTGATCATGGATAGTATTTGATCATGGATAGTATTTGAACTTGGATATTCATTGACCTTGGATATTCATTGACCTTGGATATTCATTGACCTTGGAGCTTCTGACTTTAACTGAGAAGAATGTACTATGACTCATCTGGTGATGGATGTAATTCCCCGCATGTCATATTTCAGGATCAGAAGACCGAGGCCATGGTTCTAGTCGGTCCCAAGTCGGGCATCAGCGTGGTGACCAACATCAAGTCCTACACGGTACAGTAGCAGCTTAACACAGACTAGAGATCTGTCAAAATGAGACAAATGTGAGCAGGGGCTGTCTGGGTAGGGATTGGGGACAGTAAAGGGGCCCAGCTACCCCCTGCTGGCTGTAAGAGACAAGTGATGAGGATCCGGTGATTACAGTCTGTATGTCGTCATACTTAGGCTCACATCGTTGCTCATTCTATCAATCGGGGGCACGGGTGGCCCAGTCGTCTAAGGCGCTGCGATTCCCTGTGCGGAGTTGCGTCCCTTGGGCACGCCAGAAACCTATGATTGTGGGTTCGAATCCCGGTTGGCCCCAATTATGTTTCTAGGTTTGTCAGCACCATACCCGTGCTCGTGGGTTTCACCGAAGTGGTAAACGTCTGAGGCCTGCATCACTTCGGGCTTTCCGCCCACATTAAGCTGACACGCAGTGATATAACTGGAATACTGTTAAAAGCGGTGTTAAACCCAACTCACTCTCACAATCTATCAATCACTGGTCAACCTTCCCGAGACCAGTTATGCACAGTCCTCTGTTATTTTGCTTCAGTTTTGCTGATTGTGGCATCAGATTACGTTTGGGCAACAATTCATTCAAAATGGGACCAATTTAGGATGACTAGATTTGATTATGCTTTTAGGAGATGTGTACAGTATTTAACACTGATGAATTGGGATGGGGTGTTGATTGTAGCCAATCTGGGAAGGTATTATTGTCTGAGAAGGACTCCTAGACCTTGGAAAGAAAGAGAAGGTTGTATGATTGACTACAGAGTCGCCTGAAAGGCATCTCTTTTACAGGATTAGTTGTGTAGTGTCTCATGTTGTTGGCACGTTGTACAGTATGGTTCAGATAAGGTGACGTGTGTACTGATGTGTTAATTGTGGTGGTGTTGCAGTTGTCCCTGTTGGCGGAGTTTGACCAGATGGCGCGGGTGAGGGTGACGAAAGAGGGGGAGAACATGCACAGGGTGGACATCGAACTCACCGACGAGAAGGCAGAGGTCAGTTCAGAATTATTGATGATGATGATGATGATGATGATGATGATGATGATGTTTGTAAAAATGGTGGTAATGATAATGATGTTTGAAAAAGAGTGTTTTTCAGGAACTTTCAACTTTCATTGCTTCTTTTTCAGCCAATCAGCCTTGGCCTGTTGACAGAAGATGCCCAGAACTTTGTGTGCATGGCATCCGGTTACTACAAGATATTCGTTGACAGAGATAAGCGCATCGTAGAGACAACACAAGGAAAGAACACATCTGACCCAGATGGTAACACTTCATGACTTCACATATCTAATTGGCTGTCAGCAGGATGTATGTGTCAGTCTAAAGTTATGTTCAAGAAATATTTTATATAATTATATGTTTGACTGTTTATGTGTAGAATGAATTAAGGAATTTAACAAAATCTGTTTATGTTTAATTTAATCAAAATTGATAATTGTTTGTATATATGATTTGAATTTGTTAAGTGTTTGGACTTGAGCGGTTGCTATTTATTCTGTGCATTTTGCGACCAAGAAGACATTATTGGAATATTGGTTTGAAGACTGTCAGTAGTGATTCAGACATCCTTCAGACGCTGTCGAGAGTTGCTTATTCAAGTTTGACGTGTGTTGTATTCTGACTCAGGTTGAGTATAGCCATGTTCCACTTCTTGCTCGTCACCTTCCTCCCGGATGAGTGAGCCTATCGCCCAGGCAACATAAACCCTGTCACTTTAACTTAAAGTCATTGCAGTTCATCTCACGCTTAGCAACATCAGCACCAAATTAAGGGCACAAAGTAACATGGCGACAATCTATAAAAATTGCCATAACATCTCTGTTTAAGTTAAATCGATCTCTGACAATTGAAAAACTCAGATTGTTCAGAAATATCACCTTCAGGTAGTACAGGATGAAGCTGACAGTGCAGAGAATATTAAACAGGAATGGACACATTTACGATTATGTCTAGCACACAGAATACATGAAGCACCATCAACAAAGGGAGGTAACTGTGATCACCAGGAATGCATTGATCGTCCATGGTCAAATTTCATTACACCTCTAAATTCCATCTTCTTCAGTTTATAACTCTGTCAGCTTGGCATTTTGAGTCATTCTATTGAAGTAATTTGCACTTGGGCAAAATTCTTTTCAGTTAAAGCCAATTTTGAAATTTATTACAGTCCCTTCTCAGAGTGATCCTGAATTTCATTTTGGAAAAACTTAATTAAGTAAAACTGCCAGGTTTGTGACTTTTTTTTCTTGTTTAAATCCCAATCATTGGAGAAGAAGTTTAGAAGTGTGAACTCTTGAAGCAGTTGTCCTGAATTTTCCTTCCTGATTATATTTGAGTGATTTTATAAAAATATCCTCAGGTTGAAACATTACATGGGAAAACAAAAACCTAGAGTATTAAAATCAGGAGTGTCTCTACTTTTGAATCCGAACCTAGAATTGAATCTCACAATTAGTTTCACCTGTCTCTCTGCATCTGCCCAATGTTTCTGGAAGGATGGCTTGCTCCGATCTGCTTTGTTTCACCGTCAAGTGTGGAGTTTCTTCTCCTGCCACGAGAGGGTATCACTTCACTGGACTTGTTATCTGCTTTCTGTAATTGCACAACGGCTTGGTGAAGCTTAGTCTGTCTTACAGACCCTGATACAAATATATATCAAATACAGCCCATGCAAGTCTATAATGTTTGGCAAGTCTAGATTACTGCAGTATCAGGAGAGTCACTGGGCTCCCTTTTATTATATTTTTATTAAGATAACTGAACAACTGTTTTTTTCTGTACAATATGTTCACTTCAGAGACTAGATGTCAGTCTAGGGGAAGCTGTAATGTGGGAGACAATGTGGGATGGTTTGTGCTCTCTGCTCTATTGTCTAATTGAATTTCATTCATTGGACAGATTCATGTTGCATGAATTGGTGAAATTTTATTTTGGTGCCTACTTCTAAACTTTTGAAAAATCCTGTTGAACTACAATATATTGTAGGGCTGGGACGAGTCCAAATTTAGTACCCGGGTAACCACACCCCTATTACCCGACCCTACTCAGGTACCCGCTGTTGGTGTCAAGAGATAGGTACAAACTGTCCGATTGGGAATTGTTTGACGGTAGCCCTGGCAAAATGTATTTACATACATGTATAAAACGATCTCTCATGCATACACTGCGGTTGACTGAAGTTTTAGCTTTGTTCAAACATATAAGTCAGAAGGAATGCGTTCATAGTCGTGAAGAAATGCGAACATTAGAGACTTAAAATTGTTGTGAAACCATGTAGTCATTGTGAACTTTTGTCCTGAAATACTATATCACGTGGCTAACCACGGGTCCGGGTAGTCCTGTACGTACCCGGGTCTTACTCAGTACCCACCTGACCCAAGTACCCGAGTTACCCGTCCCAGCCCAAGAACATTGGGTTTGGGGACAGTAGGCATTGCATGCAGTGGAAGAATCTATTTCCATTGAACAGGGGAGTATGGTGGAGTGTGATGGTGTGCATGTATGCCACGTGGACTTGATACATTTAGCACTACCCATGAAGATACAGGTTAGATTTGGTCTTCAGCAACCCATGCTGGTCGTAAAAGGCGACTGATGGGAATCGGGTTGTCAGACTAGAAGCGACTGACGGGATCGGGTTGTCAGACTAGAAGGGACTGATGGGATCGGGTTGTCAGACTAGAAGGGACTGATGGGATCGGGTTGTCAGACTAGAAGCGACTGACGGGATCGGGTTGTCAGACTAGCTGGCCTGCTTGATGCATGTCCTTGTATCCCAGTTGCGTAGATCAGAGGGAATGAGGGGATAGTCACCCAACATTATGAGTGAGTGAGGGAGATGGGTTTAACGGCGCTTTTAACAGTATTCCAGTTATATCACAGTGTGTCAGCTTAATGTTGGAGGAAAGCCCGAAGTGATGCAGGTCCTAGACGATTACCACCTCGGTGAAACCCATGAGCATGGGTATGGTGCTGACAAACCTAGAAACATAATCGGGGGGAACCGGGATTCAAACCCACAATCATAGGTTTCTGGTGTGCTCAAGGGACGCAACTCTGCACAGCGAATCGCCGCCACCGGTGCCCTCTCCCCAACATTATGACAGGCTCTAGGGGAGGGTCATATAAAAGAATATAAATTTAGAGTGCTTTTACATTTTGTCTTTTCGAAGAGATCCTCAAAACATGTACAAGGCCATGGAGAGGGTCATCCCAAAATATGACAAGCATTAGGGGAGGGTAATTATTCTCAATACATTAGTGCATGAAACACCTCTGACTTACCCACCCTCCACTGTGATAAATGACTGGTCCCTCAGCAGCACTGTACCAGCCCAGCAGCAGCAGCAACTGAAAGAGGCAATTACCACTTCATCCATCAGGGTTAATTTGTTTGCCAATCTACTTCACCCGGGGGGTGAAATAATTAATTAATTCAGCCAGGGATCACGTTGTCAGGCAAAGAGCTCCTTTAAGGTCATATGGAATACTTACTGGTATGAATAATTGTGTGAACTGTCCACAGATCAACTAGTTTAATTTGCATGCACAAAGATGGAAGATTGTTTTACTTGTGATGGGAAGACTTTGAGGTGTGTGTCATGCAAATGATGCCATACAGGCAGTTCTGCTAATGGTGATTACAAATCTTTTGGAAAATTATTCATGTATCATGACAAATATCCAAGATTTTCCTACTTGCCTCAATTTGGGATCGTCATCACAGCATATATATGAACTGACCCTTGCTGGCTGCCTACTCATTTTTTCTTTTATAACAATACATACGTAATCCATTATGAGTCCAGACCGCCTCCCAGGTCTAGTGGTAGAGCGTCCGCGCGGAGAGCTGAAGGTCCGGGGTTCGATCCCCGGCCGCGTCATACCAAAAGACGTTAAAAGATGGTACTTGTTGTTACCCTGTCTGGCGCTCGGCATTAAGGGGCTAAACCAAGGACTGGTCGGCTCGGAGTCAGTATACTGTGTCTGAGTGGGGTATTCATGTTAAACTGCGGCATGGTATCTCAGTGGGCTAGCACTATAAATAGGCATCAGTCCAGACTAGTACAAGCAGCCTCACACATACATACACGTGCATGCACGTCGCTATATAAGTGCAATAATCTTGGACGCGACGTTAAACCCCATTTCACCTCACCTCACCGTTGGGAAGATGGCAAGGTGATTATCATTTTACACCCCTTTTAGCAATATTCATCAATATATGATGAGCAAGCACTATAACCACTAGGCTACCCCTCTGATCCCTGGAAATGAATGGAATACTTGGTAGCTGTTGTGTCCATGAATATATGGTGTATATATGGACGCGATGTTAAACCCAATTTCACCTCACCTCACCTCTATTATGAGTCCACAAAACAAAAATATGAGTCCAGGATCAATGAACAAGGCTGTCTGAACATATCTACTTAAATATATGTTGTACTGCCATATTGAGTGCCAACTCCAGTAAGTGTCCCCTAACCTACCATTAGACCACACTGCACGTATGAGTACCCTGTTCTAAGCCTGAAATCTTACATGGTGATGCATATTTTCTTTTTTTAATACTCACTTTTTACAACAACAAAAAACAGTCTGGAATGGCTGTGATATACGAGCAGATGTTGAATTTTGACTCAAATTTAAGCTTGTGCATGGTTTAATAAGCTCCAATTTAATTGATTGATTGGCATTCTAGAAGTTGGTGAGTGAGTAAGAAAACATACAACTTTATGGATAACAACTTCGGGTTTATAGCATCTAGTGATGTTTCGATGTAGATTCTTACCCCATTATCAAACTGGATACTCCAACTTCATAATGATGTAAGAATCTACATCAAAATGTTGTACTGTACTGTACCATTGCATGTAGTGATGTTTCGATATAGATTCTTACCCCATTATCAAACTGGATACTCCAACTTCATAATGATGTAAGAATTTACATCGAAACGTCGTACTGTACTGTACCATTGCATATTGTGATGTTTTGATGTAGATTCTTACAACATTATCAAGTGCCTGGGGCGCTTCATGCAACAAACAAAGGGTGTGCCAAAGTTTGCATTTCTACATTGTACAGTAAAGTTGTAAAAGGACAATATGATATTGCTTGGTTAATGTGGCTAAATACAGAATCTCATCTGAGTGTCTTTTGATATCAAATATATCAACATTCATCGATAAAAGTTTCCCCAATTCATTCTTTGAACTTTTGTAAACGGCATTTACCAGGTCTTGAGTGTAAAGAGTACAGCTAACTGCCTCAGTGGCTTAGATATTAGTGATTAGTGTCTTGGTAGCTGAGGATGTCACCTGGTCTGTGGCTTCAGGGCTAGATCTCCAAAGACAAGTTGCTTGATCTCACCCAAGGGACATCTCCCCAGGAAGCCAGGTCTGGATGATAAGTAGGTTTATTGTAACACTCACGTCACATTCCTCCTCTCCTGTTCCAGTTCCAGCGTACAGCAGCAAGCATAGGGTGAAGGGGGCACGGTGGACCTACCCTGAGGACCTGGTGTCGGAGGTGGTGGATGCCGGGCAGGTGTTGGAGGAGAATGGCCAGGTGTCGGAGGATGAGAAGCTGATTGACTTGGGCCAGTCGCCGCCGCCGTACACGGAGAACAAGGAATACCTGGCTCAGATCAAACAGGAGCTCGGCATGAAGGTACGTGGATCTCCTCCTTGGCTTCTAACAGTGCATGGTCTTTCTGTCAGTGAGTGAGTGAGTTGGGTTTAATGCTGCTTTGAACAATATTTCAGTTACACAGCTTGTCAGTCTTATATTGGAGGAAATCCTGATGTACTGCAGGTCTTAGACTTTTACCATTTTGGTGAGACCCAAGAAATAAAACAAAAATATTCCAGTTATTTTTATCTCTTGGCAATACCTTTCTTATTCTTTTTCAGTCCGAGGATCCAAAAGAAATGGTTGAGACAGTCCAACTTAACACATTCCACAATGACGACAGTGATGTTACCTCCCTTGAAACTCCTTCCCACAATACCAGTATTTACGAGGAAGCGGTCACCTCCTTCGGTGCCACGGGTTTGTCCGTCGGTGACGACAGCACAGAAGAGAGCAGTCTCAACAGCTCGGCCAGCTCACAGCAAAACAGGCTCACCTTCCAGACATTCCTCAGTACTGCTAGTCAGAATGGCACTGCCAAGAACGTTCGGAAAACGGGACCTTTGACCAATGGTCATTCAGCATTCGAGCCATCGAGGTTGGAGGAGATTCCATCAGACACAGACAGTGGTTCAGGAGCAGATTTAGAAAAGAGGCCATTGTTGTCGTCGCAGAGTAGTTTGATGATGAACGGTGACGCTCGGACAAGTTTTGATGTTGAGAGTGATGATACAGACTCGTGGGGGACGCCTCATGATAGCCCAGCTAAAGGAAGAATGAGCCAAGGAGGCAGTGGTGAGTTGGCAGATTCCTCCTGGAGTAAGGATTCTTAATAAAATTTCAATGTTTAGATTCTTTTTAAATAAAATGTTTATGTGTGTATGTCCTGTAGATGTACTAAAGAAGAATTGGTGCAGTGTTTCTAATACTTGTTTTATCAGGGCAGAATAGGTGACCCCATGCTTGTTCAAGAATGTTCTCTTAAGATATGTAAGACATTACAAGGCTCAGTGTTTAGCCTCGTCTAGTGAAGAACAGTAAACTATGGTTGTAATAAACTCAAAGGGACCAATAATTTTTGTTCGTTATATCCATAGTTCGTTATAAGCATTTCAACTAAAGGTTATCGCAAATGGCTGGGACCAAAAACAACAGTTCATATCAGTCACTTCGTTCTAAGCGTGTTCATTATAAATGTTGTTTACTGTAGTTGTCTGTCTGCAGAACCCACCTCTATGTCACTGTTATGACACCCGATTTCTCCATCCTGCTGGTCCCTGCTGTTGTGTGACTCCCTCTAACTGTCCTTGTTTCTGCTGACAGAGCACAGTTTTGGGCTGCTGAGCCCCGACCTCCTTCCTTCATCAGACCAGGAGCAGCAGCAACTCCTTGAGAGCTTCGGCCTCCACAGTCCCGACGACATCCCCCAGGAGCTGATCGACGTCCTCAACGACCCCACCACCATGAAGGGCCAGAGGGTCTACTTCGACCCTGATATCATAGGTAATGTCGTCTGTTACATACCACTTTTGCCTTTCAATGTTTTTGTTTTTTTCACTGTCACATCATTGCCGTATCTGTCATTCCAAATGAATAATGAAACATGTATTTAGGGGACATGTGAATGTAATCTTGTTTTATGGGGGGCAGTCGGGTAGCCTAGTGGTTAAAGCGTTCCCTCATCACGCTGAAGACCCGGGTTCAATTCCCTACATGGGTACAATGTGTGAAGCCCATTTCTGGTGTCCCCCGCTGTGATATTGCTGGAATATTGCTAAAAGCGGCGTAAAACCATACTCACTCACTCACTCACTTGTTTTATGGCTGCTGAAACAGCAAAGTATACGGTCACTCGTTTAAGTCGGGATTTGTCGAGGATTTATCACTAAGTGACAGTGGAAGGTAGATTGAGGAAAATATTTATTACAGCCAAAATAATGCAATAATTCAAGACTAAATATTGAGGTCCTTTTCTCTTTATTGGACCTGTAATAAACCCGTGAAGATCCGGGGTTGAATACGTCTTCAGCAACCCATGCTTGCCACAGAAGGCGACTATGCTTGTTGTAAGAGGTGACTAACGGGATTGAATGGTCATGCTTGCTGACTTTGTTGATACATGTCATAGTATCCCAATTGCGTTGATCATGCTCATGATGTCAACCACTGGATTGTCTAGTCCAGACTCGACTATTTACAGACCACCATCATGTAGCTGGAATATTGTTGAGTGTGGCATTTTAAACAAACAAACAAAACAATTAAGTTGTAATAACCTTGTCGGAAACCTTGTCATCCACTGTGGGATATGAACATTTGATGTAGGTGAGGAGACAAATATCTGTCTCTGAGAATTTCAGATAAGTAGTACATCTTACAAAAGTTGTTCAGTGATTTAGGCTGTACTTCTTAATGCTTTGATTATTCTAGGGAAGGGAAAGAATGTCTACATTGATTCTGAGATCACAGGTAGGATCCTGCTTAATGATGCATGATGCTGGGGCCTGGACTTAGATAGCTAGTCAATGTACATCGCTAGTCAACGTGTTTGGAGCTCGCTCACTTGGTTGATGCATGTCATCGTATCCCAGTTGGGTAGATCGATGGTCATGATGTCAACCACTGGATTGTCTGATCCAGACTCGCCTATTTATAGACCATCCTAATGTAGCTGGAATATTGCTGAGTTCTGAATTAAACAACAAAAATACACATCTGCTTGGACTGTGTTTGGAGGGACATCTGAATGTAAGCTTGTCCTCAGACTGAGAGGGGGCTAGTTGCAGCCGTCGTAGAAACTGACTGCCTTTATACAGCTACACAGACGACCTGACATTCACATAGGCTCTCTATAGCTTGGTCTTCTGCTTTTGTGTGCACACAAGGACCAGGGCCAGATTTGATTCTGATTGGGTGGCCCAGATGTCAAGGTGCTGCGATTTGCTGTGCAGGGTTGTCTCCCTTGGACAATCCAGAAACATGTACTCAGGGTTCTGGAATCCACCTGATCATGTTTCTAGCTATGTTCCCTGATGGCTTTCATGAAAGTGGTAAATATGTAAGATGTGCATCACCTCGGGCTTTCCTCCCACATCAAGCTGAGATGCCATGATCCAACTGAACACTGTTGAAAGTGGCACTGTACCCGACTCACTCACACACTCACTCACTCACTACAGTGCATGCTTGGCATTGGAAATATAAAACAACTTGAATGATATTGTGCCTTTACCTGGAGCCTTGAACATTTCATTACCATCACCAGTTAAAGGTGCTGGGAATTCCAGATATTCTATGGAAGTGCTTTGTATATTTATGCATGCGTTTGCAAATTATTTTAAAATAGGATTTAGGAAGCAGTAAGCATTTATCACATTACAATATATTTTCAATTGCCTTGATGACCTGACTATATATATGTGTGTATTGTGAGGTATTGTGAGAGTTCGCTGTTGGTTATTATGATTCCAGTGACAGATGGGTAGCGAAGTAGATAGTGTGTTTGCCTTGTACTGAGTCAACTCTCATTATGGATACGAAATATATCCTGGAGGCAAAATGGCCTCATTATCGACTGGTAGCCAGCTACTGTAAATCTTGAAATTAACGCGAAAAATTAAATGCGAAAAATGCGAGTGGTCTTTGCTCGCACTTTTAAACATAGCATTTATATCAACAATAAGACATTTTGGATAGCAAAAATATCAACTTAGACATACGCTGATGTATTCCACACCATTGTTTATTGAGCAGTACTTGTATATAAAGGATATGAACAATGTCATTTAAACACTAATTACATCCTGTGAATTGTCACTGCTGGGGTCAAGACAAGAGTTCTACTCACTTATGTCATCACTGATCACACCTGCAAGTCCAGACAGACGCCACCCTTTTTCTTTGTGACTGCGTCAAAGGCCGACATGAGCCAGCGCGCATGTATTGTTTTGCGGAAGTACTTTACTCAGTGCTAATAAGTGGTGCTATTTGGTGTGTGATTGGATTAATCTAAGGTTGAGGATTCTAAACCTGACTGAGGACATCTTTAGATAGAAATTCACTGATGCTTGAGAGGAGGGGGTGTCTCATTCATATTGTGTTGCATTTTTGGCTCGGGTCTAGTGGTCGCATTCTTTTGGAGACGCATTAATTTCACAATTTACAGTATTTCAGGACTGTCTTTTCTTGCAGTTAAAAATAAAGAACATGTTCAATTTTCAATTGTTTATATGGTGGTCCTTACGTGCCATGGAGATGTTGCCATTCACAAGTTACATTTTCTGTTTTCAGATCTGACGTTGTTTCCACCACCAGTGACGCCTGAGGATGACAACATAATAGACTTTACCATGCTAGCTCTACCTCCGCCTACATTTACACCCAAACCCGGGCTTACGCAACCCTCTACCTCACTCCCCCTCACCAGCACCGCAACAGCAGGTAAGATGGAGTCTCGGTATCTCCCATTTACACCCAAACCCGGGCTAACGCAACCCTCTACCTCACTCCCCCTCACCAGCACTGCAACAGCAGGTAAGATGGAGTCTCAGTATCTCCCATTTACACCCAAACCCAAACCCAAAGTATGGTTTGATTACTTTTGGGGTAATTTTTAAAGACACTGATACCACTGGACCCAGTTTTACAGACAATGATAGATACCAGTGGGTTCAGTTTTACAGACAATGATAAAATTGGCCCCAGTTTTACAGACAATGATACCAGTGGACCCAGTTTTACAGATAATGATAGACCCCAGTGGGATCAGTTTTACAAACAATGAAACCAATGGGCCCAGTTTTACAGACAATGATGCCAGTGGGTTTAGTTTTACAGACAATGATACCATTGGGCCAAGTTTAAAAGACAATGATACCAATGTTTTGTTTGATGACCCGCAGGCTCTACAGCGGGACAACCAGCGCCGCTTGTACCCACCACCATACACAGAGTGGCACGACCTGCACCCCCTCCACCAGTCCGCGGGTCGCCGCAGCAGAAGTTGGCCAAATCAGCAAGTGTCGGACACTGTCCGGACTTCTTTGACAATGACATTGATGAGCTCATAGCTCGATTCACTGTTCCTCCTCCACCATCAGAAATAGATAGTGAGTCATCAGATCCTCTTGCACAGACCTGGCATGGCGCCCGGCCAAAGAACCCGCTGGAACAGGCAACACTCGATATGAAGATGGTTGAAGACGAGTTTGCTTCGCTGATCATACCTCCTCCACCGGAGAGTTCTACTGCCAGCACAGACGACATTCCTGTTGTTCCGCCAGTCAGTGATGCAAAGGCAGAAACCAAACGGAAAAAATTCCGACACAAACGTTCATCATCTGTAGATGTTAGCTCCCTTCAACTAGCTAAAGATTTTCTTGCAACAAATAAAAGCAAATCTGTAGATTCTTCCCAACCAGGTGACAAAACTGCGGATAAATCAGTGCATAGACAACTTGAACCACCTTCATCGTTAGGTCAGATTGGCAAAGTTTCAGGGAAAAGGACTGGGATTGCTGCCGAATCACCAGCAACTGTGTCAGAAAAGTTGAACAGTTTGTTGGCATCACTTCCCCGTGTTGAAGGGGCTTCATGGACTGGATCGTTACGACTCCACAGGAGCTCCTCACTGGATATTTTGGCGTCTGCTGAGTCGGCCATGTTGAAACCAGGTCAGCAGAAGGCTGCATCACTCCGAGTGCTGGTTCCTAAGAGGGCCAGTAGTGTTGATAGAACTCCGTTGTCGCAGCTGTTTAAACCACCTGAAGAGAGACAGCAGCCTGTGATCCCCATGGCTCAGTCTTTTGACAGTGTAAAGAAGCCTTCCAAAAAGGACAGTGAGGGGTCTGAACATTTTGCATCATTGAAAGCCAAATTAAAAGCTTGTAAAGATGACCTTGTACAAAAGTCTAACCGGAGCAGTTTTAGACTGAAGAAGAATAAGTCTGAAAGTAGTGAAAATGTTAGCAAAGAGAAGGGAGAGGAGGGGAAGAGTTCACTTCGAAGATCAGGATCCTTTTCTGACCTTGTTGCACGATTTAGTAAACGTGGTTCCAAGGAAAATATTAAGAAATCCACGAGTCAAGATGGTAGTGGGGACACAGATTCAAACTCGGATGGTTGTCTCACACCGGTTAGCGATTCAAAGAAGTCTATGAAGATGATTGAGACTCTGGCATTACCAAGGTCAACAATCCTAAGACCTCCAATAACAACAAACAGTTCTGAAAAGGTGGGTTACCTCCCTTGTTTATAGTACCCTAGCTGAGTTTAAACTTTCCTCTTATTATTGTGGCGGTGGGGTAGCCTAGTGGTTAAAGCATTGGCTCGTCATGCTGTCGACCCGGTTTCTATTCCCTACATGAGTACAATGTGTGAAACCCATTTCTGGTGTCTCCGGCTGGGATATTGCTGGAATGTTGCCAAAAGCGGCGTAAAACCTCACTCACTCACTCACTCACTCACTCACTCAGGAATTAATAAGACAAGTTCCAAAACGATTACAAAATTATGCCCAGACGAAGACAAATTGTCTTAAATTCTATAAAAAATTATTTTTTCATCCAATTTTCTTATTTTCTATCATAAAAGGAAGATCTTAATTTTATTTTGTTTGTAATATATGTCTCTTCTCTTCAATTAGTAAACTTAGAAAGATGTTTTTCAATAATATCTTCTTTTGATTTTTATGACTTCATTCTTTTATTTGGTACAGCAGTTTTACACGTATCCATGTTCTACACAGGTAATGTTGTGTTGGGGTTTTGGTGTGTGTCAGTTGCCATGCACAAACATACCGGCACCTTTATTTGGGGCCATGTGGAGGATGTGTCTGTGACACCCAGTAGTCCCTGTTAGTCAGTCTCAGTTTGCGACCCGTGAAGATTCCGGGGTAGAATTGGTCTTCAGCAACCCATACTTGCCGTAAAAGGCGACTATGCTTGTCGTAAAAGGAGACTAACGGGATCGAGTGGTCAGGCTCGCTGACTTGGTTGATGCATGTCATCGATCCCAACTGCGTGGATAGATGATCATGATATCAATCACTGGATTGTCTGGTCCAGACTCGATTATTTACAGACCGCCGTCATATAGCTGGAATATTGCTGAGTGCGGCGTTAAACAACAAACAAACAAACAAACCAATTTGCAGTGTTGCATTGACTGTGAGATTGGCATATACAAGATGTATGCTGTGTTGAACGTCAGACTGTAGTGTTTGACAGTGATACACCCACCGTATTTCACATAATTAACAGCCTTGATCTACGAATTGGGCACTTTGATGCCTGATCTGTCAGTGACAGGGTTTGGCATGTGTCTTATAATCAATAGCAGTGTCTGTCCGTGTAATGTACACTGAGATTTCATTCAAGGCACCCTGCCCACTACATGCGTGCGTGAGTGTTGGTCTGGGTGAGAAGGGAGTAGCTAGAGACATGCTACTGTGACTCTCCTCATTTTCACCTCAGGAAATAGGTCGGTTGGTCGGGGAGCCTAGTGGTTAAAGCGGTCGCTCGTCACGCCAAAGACCCGGGTTCGATTCCCGACATGGGTTCAATGTGTGAAGCCCATTTCTGATGTCCCTGCCATGATATTGCTGTAATATTGCTAAAAGCGGCATAAAACCTCACTCACTCAGGAAATAATTAGACAAGTTCCAAAACTGTTGCAAAATTATTCCCAGACGAAGACAAATTGTCTTCAATTCTATAAAAAACATATAATATATCATCCAATTTTCTTATTTTCTATCATAAAAGGAAGATAATTTGATCAGGAAAATGTCATACTTCCTTGAGGAAAAGATAATTTATCAGGAAATTATACTTTTCTGCACAGGATCAAGGTTATATTTCACTTTGTGTTCTTGAAGACTCGCTCTACCTGATGACTTGTTAACATGCTCTTTATTATTCAATGTTTTCATTGTAGTCTTCATCTTCTTCTTCTTCTTCCTAAGCAACCACTACATTTTGTTTGCTGTAAGAGTGCCAATTGTGTGAAATACGGTACACTCTTAACACATTTCACCTTTCATATCCTGTCGTTTCTGTTTACCTTAGTCCTGGTTTTTCAGCTGGATTCCACAGATAATGATGATGATGATGATGATGATAGTGATCAGGTAAACACGGGGAAATTGTCTACCACACCAACTGTTCATGCATGCAATGACGAGCCGTGTAACATTAACACCAGCCGATAGCACCACTGTCGTCGTCGTCGTATGTTCTTGTACAATTCTCAGCATGGGTATGCCAGAAGCATGCATGTCATTGTCGGAGGGGGCAGCAAGCACCTGCTTCAATCAGGGGTCCATAGCAGTTCCAACACATGGCACCTTCACAAAGAATTCTGGTTGCTATGACAGTCATAAATCCCTTTTGAACAAAATCATCCATCAAATTGCCGGAATATTGTAGCAATATATAACATCACACAAATACAAAAACATTACAAAAATAATATTTTTGAATCATTTTCAGTGCAAACAGTTCAAATTCAAATTTGTTGCTATAATCCTTTTTGAATTTATAGCTACAAACCTATTTTATTTTAGACCTATAATCCTTTTTGAATTTACAGCTGCTAAATTTTTTTAATTTATACCTAAAATCCGTTTTGAATTTACAGCTGCTATATTTTTTAAATTTATACCTATAATCCTTTTTGAATTTGTAGCTACAATCCCTTTTTAATTTATACCTAAAATCCGTTTTGAATTTACAGCTGCTATATTTTTTAAATTTATTCCTATAATCCTTTTTGAATCTATTCCTGGGATTGCCCCTGAAGGTAGTCCAGGTGCTACAGTTGTCTCCATTCTACCTGTGATTGTGATTGTCATACACCTGGGACTGCTTTGTTGGAGGAACCCACAGTTCCACATGCTGGCCTTGAGAGTGACTGTAACCACTGAAGCTATCAAGTCTTATTAAGTTTATTATTTATAGCTTTTTTGATAACCAATTTGCTGTAGCAGGATAAAATACAAAATTTTAATCAAAAATGTGCTGCTCGGAATTTTGTTTTCAGTTTGGCATGGATTTTTTTAGGTTTGTCAGTTTGGTGTACGTGACAAAGTAAAGACAATTCTGTTTAAAGTGCAGGATGTTAAATATTTTTAGACTAACATGAATATGTATATCTTCTCTTTATAACGTGACAGAGACTTGATACAATACATTTGAAACAGTTAACAGTTAATTAATGCTGTTTGATTTTTGTAGTGTTTATATTTTCTGATAAAAATTAAGATCACTACTTTTGTTTAATTCTATGATTCTATACCTGGAAAATATATTAAAGTGCAGCTTTACATCAATAGCATGTAGAACGTGATGAAGTTTCTAAATATTTGAATTTTAAAGAATTTTGCAAGTTATTTCAAAAATTAATTTGTAACATTGCCAATACATTTTCTGATGGATATATTGGGAGTTGTTTTGTGATTGAAACAACTTTGACATCTTGATAGCTTAATAGTATTGTCACTGTTAAGTTCTCCATGGGTACTGACAGGTTTGTCATTTCAAGTGATATAACATGGAACCCCAGCTTGATTCACTTATGGATGGGGAGGGTGCTGTTAATATGTAGCTGTGATTGAAGGAGAGTTCCTCGATCAAGTAGCGCTAGCATACATTTCCTAATAGGTAACAGTCGTATAGCTAAAATATTGCTGAGTGCAGCATTGAACAATGAATAAACTGTATTTAACAGTCTATATGCGTCAGGTTGACATAAAATACATTCGATGTTAACCCGAAACAGACCACACCCTAAGTCATTGTTATTTTGCTGATGCTGGTTATAGTTTAGAAAACTGAGAGTACCCAAAGGGGGATAACTCTGTTTACTCTAAGTGAGTGGCTGTTGAAGAGCAGCTTCTTGATGAAGGTTTATGTTGCAGAGATTCTGTTTATAACCGCTTGGTGATGGGATGGCGTTAGAGGCAACAGACATCTAAAACAGACTGCATGTTGGGAAGGTTACAGCAACCGGGAGCTTGCACAGGATAGAGCTAATGCTTATTCAAACATAATAAGAATACAGGGATATATACAGAACAGGATAGTTTAAGGATCATGAATATTTGTTAGGAATATTTTTTATGAAATTGTGTCTTCACTACAATAATATATCCTGCAATATGTACATGATCCCTAAGTTTTTTTATTCCGTATATTTTGGAAATGCATCCTCCAGTAAAAATAAACCTTCTCAATCTCCATGGAATTACCAATGTTATTTACTCTTTAATTTGTTGCATTTACTCATATTTCATTACAAACAAGATTCTTTTCAGGGGTTCATATTTTTTCATCAAAAGTTATCATTAATGATATACTTTTTTCAAAGTACATAAGATGTTTTTTCCAACATTGTCTTCTCTGGAAGTCACTAGCTCATTTCCTTTATCTTCCTTTTCATTGTATAAAAAACAGTAGCTGTATGTTATGCATGGTTGCTTCAGTGGAAAAGGTGTCGGGTCTTGTTAGACAATAATATATCATGCTTTATAGTGCCTTGTAACATAGATTTTATTCACCATGACGTTATTATTACTACTATACTTCTAATGTCACATTTATAAAATTCACTTGACTGACAATATGTCTGAATCAACCAGTCATGTGATACAATTTCTGTATCTAGTCAGAATTACTAAACATGTAGTTAATTTGTCTGAAGGTTGTTCCCAGGAGTGATATAATGTGATATAGCCTAGTGATTGCACTAGGTATAACCTTGTTATTCCCCCACTGAGGAGTCCCACCCTCATCATGTTGTTTGTCTCTGTGTGACTGGTACTTTCAGCAGCACCCTGTGCGTCTAAGTACATTAAGCAGGATACTTCTGTATAATTTCCTTATTCCCCCTATACTTATCTACTCTGTGCTTGCACTCAGTGGTTAGCTTATTTGTATAAGTACCACCTCCCATTATCAGGTTTCAGTTTTCATGCTACTTAACTTTTGATAGGTATTATACTCTGGTGGTATATCTTGACAGTAAGTTAGTAGTTATGTGATATGTGTCTGGATAGTAAGATGTGACATATGTATCTGGACAGTAAGATAGTTATATGATATGTGTCTGGACAGTAAGATAGTTATATGATATGTGTCTGGACAGTGAGATAGTTATATGATATGTGTCTGGATAGTTAGATAGTTATATGATATGTGTCTGGACAGTGAGATAGTTATATGATATGTGTCTGGA